CCCTCTCCTCTATGTGTTATTTATATAGAATGTAGGTAGAAACTGGTTAAACGTGCTTTTATGTATTCCTTGACTTATTCATCATTGCCCGGAGCTTTACCATTACTAAGCTTTTTAACGGCTGATAAAATTTCCTCTTTCGAAATACCTCGATCACGAATACTTATATAATATCTTGATTATCAATATTTTCTATTAGCTCGTCAAATCATGATTATCTGTACCTGTATCTTCATTTTTATTAAAAGACTTAAAATAATCGTATAACTGATCTATACCAAATTTAATCTCCTGCGCCGAATTATTTTTGTCTAAAAGTTTCAAAATTTCCCAAAACTTTTTCGAATCTTTTCTGGAGATTTTACGGAGACAACATTCGAAATTATGCTGTGAACTTTTGAAACATCTATTCATCTCAAATTTATAATTTTTTCCAGCTTTCTTCATAGCTTCTCGGTTTTCTTTATTTTTTTATAAACGTATAAACTTTAAAGATAAGATTTTATTATTTGTTGGTCGGTCATAAAATCAAATGGATTTGTTCGATCCCTGAACAATTTTCTTGTGAACTCTTGCTGTTGTACACGTTGTCTCAGTTGTACATACAGTAACAACGGCGTTTTATTCGATTATTAACAAGTGAATGTGCAGCTAAGAGTAGTCGGGACCACTCTTACAAAAAATATCAAGAGAAGCTATTGCGAATTGTTCTTGGTACACCCCTAAGTTGCTAATTAGATATAAGAAGATGTGGTATGAGTGCCAATGAGACAACTCTCCATCCAAGTCAAAATTTATAAAAGTAAACCATAATAGGTCACAGTACGGTCTTCAACACGGGGTTAAGAAAACTTAATAACTGACCAAAATTTAAGAATGATTTTGTGTTACCGGAATTAGTAAGATCGCCTTAAGGTAGACTTAAGAATCGTTCTTAAATCATGCCCTTTTCAAAACATTAAGGGCTGTCACTCATTCTAAGATAGGTCTGAGGTTGGGTCTTGTTACACTTTTAAATCTTAAGACGCTCTTTAGACGTTCTTAAGACATAAGAATGCTTCTTGTTACCGACCCCTGGTATCTTTGATCAGTTTTTTTTAAAGGGAGGCGTCCTTAGGTTTTATTCCCCATGAACAAATGAGGTTTCAAATACTCTTCCTCGATTATCTGTTGCATGTTATATTTTCAAAAAATACCCCCCACCCCTCCCAAAAAAAAATGAGTTGACCTGCTTTTTTGGTTTATTTGTATCATTAAAAATAGAAAATTGCATTTTTTAACATGATTTGAATACATTTCACACTTGAAATTTCAGTTAATTGATAATGCCTATGACAGAAGTACAGTCATCCAATATATTCATTTATTATATACTTAGAGTGGGTGGCGCATATTCGCCTTGGACACATTTTCGCCGTTTTGCTATTTTTTCTGTTAAATGTGTGTGCCTTTACCCAATACTTGCCTAAATAGATGGTAAAGGCTGTTTGTAATGTTACAACTGTTGATATTCCTCTTTACCCCATTTCCAAGGTTATTCCCACATATTGAGAAATACGCAGGTGTTTTTAAATGATTTTGGCAATTATGTAAGATTTATATGGCAATCATGCGCAGTCTAAAGTAAATATTTGTGAGAAAAATCGTATAGGAATGATCTCTCAAGCTAATTCACATGTAATTGCAAACATTCGTTTTATAATATACCAGGATAATGAGGATGGTCATATCATACACTGCGGCGAAAATGTGTCCCCCATGGTACACGAACAACTTGATTTCCTCTTGAGTTTGCGTTCGTTTTTAAAACAATTAACCCATTTTTTGAAGATAATTTCTTTATCAAACATTTTTTTCATATAGTTAAATTTCTGAAACCTTCATAAAAAGTTCCAAATATTCGAATGTAGGTCGGATGTAAGTGGAAATGAACGATTTATGCGGCGAATATGGGTCTCTCACTCTAGTAGTAAATACAGATAAATTGTATGTGTAATACAATCATTGGTAATCGTGCTGTATCAGCCACCCGTGATGATATCGATATCAGCACGGTTGCAAAGGCTTTATCACGCCTTTAATCTGTATGACGTCACGTCATCGATTGCAGTGCAAAGGCTTTATCAAACCCCTAATCTGCATGACGTCATGTCAAACCTATAATCTGTATGACGTCATTTCAAACCTCCTTATCTGTATGACGTCATGTCACATAAAAAACATCTACGTGAGGTATATGTATATAATAAAGTGTATATGATTATGACTTTTTCTATATCACACACCGTATCAACCCTCAACCAATATAATCCCTCGAGCAGAGCTCTTGGGATTATATTGGTGTCTCGGGTTGATACGGATGTGATATTGAAAAAGCCATATGATATTCTCTATTTATACTCGTATAATCTAGCACATTTCAGAATAATTCATATGGATATTAATTGTGTTCAAACTGTCAGTAACTACAATCATTCATGACTTACTAACTGTCCTCCCGTCCTAACTACTGTATTATGTTTATTTACCACTGTGTACTCATTTGTGTAGCAACTATAATCTTTGACGATTAACATTTCGATCCGATGAATTTGACTTAAAAAGGTCGATAACGATCCTTCATGTACAAATGTATTACAAATGTATTATAAAGATGTTTTAGATAAAAGAGAGGCATATATCATCGATATAAAATAGAACTTAACATATTTCTGTTACTTTAACTGTGCCAAAAATATTATACTGATCTTATAATTGATAAAATACGGTGTGAACTTACCATTTGTCATGTGTCAATAAGATATTTGATTGTTGTTAACGTCAAGTGGCAAATGTATCATGCATATTCAGTCCCTTATCAAATGGCAAAATCAAAAGCTCAAACACAACAAACGAATGAAAAACAATTTTCATATTCCTGACTTGATACAGGTATTTTCTTATGTAGAAAATGGTAGATAAAACCTGGTTTTATAGCTAGCTAAACCTCTCACATGTATGACAGTCGCATAAAATTCCATTATACTGACACCAATGTGAGAACAAAATAAACAGACATAATATGTAAAAATGTAAAAAATAGGAGTACAGCAGTTAACATTGTGTTATAATCTTAATCAATATAAAAACAAACACACATGTCAACAAAGAAAAACAAAATAGCATATAGACAAAGCACATATTAAGCACAATGGCGGGATGTATAAATTTTTGACAATTGCAAGTTTCTTTCATTCAAATAAAGAATAACAAATATGGTCTTTAAAACCTTGATTAGAGTACAGCGCTATCTTAATTATAATTGTGGTAATCTACCATCTATGCAATTACTATGTACACAAAAAAGGGTGTAGTATGAAAGCTTGTGAAGGGAAATTAAGGCAACTTGATGATGATTTTGTTTTAACTTTCTTAAGGAAATTGATATATTTCGCCATGAATTGAAAAACCGTGATAATGTCTGAAGGGAATGTGCCACGTTTATATATATACATGTATATTCTGATAAATCTTTTATTATTTACTTTGAAATAAAAAAAAATCCACAAAACCTATGATCTATGATCTATTGGTAGTTGCTTTTTAATGCCTATCCGCTAGACTATCTATGGGCACATAATCTCTATTTTTCAAATTTATTATAGCTTTAGTTTTACTGTGAAATTGAAAAATGTTTTCAAAGCATGTAAAGCTTCCACTGCAATTTAATTATATATGCCTGCTTATGGTCAATTTATTTTGTCATCTTACCATGTAAAGAAGTACATGTAGTAAAACACCGCTTTATATCAATATACATACTTACACAAGCTGCTACCATCTATTCATTCTGGAGTCAAGGGCATTTTGAAATCACATATTGTACTATGATACCAGTGAGTAAATTTACAAAACATAAAAACTTAGTTAATGAACTCCATTTTACAAACACCTGTGATGCAAGTAGTCAGCCAAAATAAAATATCAATAGACCAATTAAAAGATTTCTTGAGTTGTAAATATGTGCTAAATTGGATAGTCAGTGAAAAGGTATATACTATGAAGTGCTCGGGGCAAGCCCCTCGCTCTAAATTTTATAGTACATACCTTTTCATAGACACCGATTAAAAGGAAAAACTTATCATACCAATGTCTGCGCATGACACGTTTCTGGAATAACCTGCAATAAGAAGCTCCAGACCAAAAATTAATTGAACAGGCATGAAAAGAGCACGTCTGAATGGATAAAAATCATAGTTAGGGAGCTACCATTTGATTTTTAGGGGGGGGGGGGGGGGGGGGCTAGGATGAAATTTGAAACTAATAGGCAGGACAGGAGTTTTGAGTAAAAAAAAGGCAGGATGAGACACGTGCAAAAAAAAAGTCAGGATGACAATTCAGGTAAAACAAAGTCAGGATAAACTTTAAAAAAAAAATCAGGATCGAATAGAGTGAAAAAATAAAAAGGGCAGAGATTACAACTAAGAAAAAATACAGGACAATATTTTTCATCCTAGCCCCCCATAAAAATCAAATGGTAGCTCCCTTACACTAGCTGCTTTGGCCGTCCATCTCTATCTGCACCAGCATATAACAATGATATGTGAATGCATATTGGAACAGAAAAAGTCATCAAATAGGACAAAAACAGGGATAGTACAAATTATCACCTGTTATATATATACGTTTAAACACCTACGGATTGTTTTACAGTGCAAACGATTAATAGCTCAACCTGAACATTTAAGAAATTAGTCTTTCTTTCTTTTTTTTTCATGAATATTAAATATCTTTTATTTCAAAAAAATTCAAATTCGTCTTTTATATTATTAAGTCATCAGATTATAAACAAAAACAAAAGCCACATCATATATTTTCCAGTGTCATAATTTCAATAATAACTCTAGTATGTAATATAATTTACTGTAATGCACTACATTTGACGTGATGTGTGACACTGATAAAACAACATTACCTACTGTTTTGTCACGGTTCGGTAAAGCGAGTCGATAGCAGACAGGTAATGTTGATAAAAATTACATTACTTTTTCAACCGGAAGGAATATGTTCTAAGGTATACACGGAACTCCTTCCTGTTTTTCAAAAATGACCGGTGTATCGGATGTTGTAAATCTGTGATCTCTGTATGCTAAACTAATGCGGGTTATTATCAGTATATCGATCAACCTAAATTGCCTTCATTCATTATAAAGACAGTAACGCTACCCAACACACATGGAATGAAATCGGCCATATTTTTCTATTATTGAAGAACAGTTATATATATTAATGTTAGATAGGATGTAATTTTGTGGATTTAAATGAATTCATATTTGTATCTTCGAATCTGACATTCATTAATATAATTATGTGGGTATTTAAAATGTTCTGATAACAGTAAACAATTGTTTACCTAAAATGTCAATGTAGTTCAACTGGGTATTGGATATTGTGTTTATAGGGAAAATCAATATATAACAATTATGTAGTTGCATTCAAAAACAAAACAACTTTAATTCATGGATATGAGTGTGGTCCATGTAGTGGTTACTTTACTTTTTACAGGTATGTATCTGTTTATAAATGTTAATATTTATCAACAATGTACACCCCTTTTAACGTATTCATCGAACTTCTTGTTGTTTTAGGTTCATGTTTAAAATATACTAGCGCATCCCGTTCCTGAAAGCTTTTATTTTCAAATTAGAACAAAAATCGTGTAATTTAAGTTCCTTTTCATCCGCTACCCACTTTATCCTATAATAGAAACTTCATTTTGATTATTTATTTAATCACTCTGTTGACGATAGCGGACCTGGAACATGGAGACAGTATGACGGATGAAGTATGTAGCCAAAGTACCATTATACATACATTTATCCTTATCTTTTCCATCTTTGATTAGCGTAGTTTCATTTCTAAGCTACAATCTACCAGCGGTCATGAGAAAGGCACGGAAGGTTAACACATTTATACATCTTATACACACATCAACATGTGGAAAATCTTTTTCAGTGGGATGCTAGCCTAAGGGAAGAAATCCTAAAATTCTAACTCGCCAAACATCTCATTTTCACATCTGCAACACCCCAGAATGATATTCCAGCTAAACTGTCAAATTTTGACAGTGGCTAAGTGACGACCATTTGATTTTCTGGGGGAGGGGAAGGGGGATTTGGAAAATGAATATCCTTGCCTGATAAGAGCTGAAGGTAATAACCTTGCATAAGACAGGATGAAAATGAATATTCTGCATCACAAAATGCAGGAAACAGTTTTGTACAAAATTGAATATAAATGATGCCGATCGAAAAAAAAGTATGCATAGAAACAGATGAAAATGAACAGTCAATTTGGGGGAAAATCCTGTCCCCTCCCCCTTTTTCAGTTGTGGAACATGTAGAAAGTTCATTCTAGGGTGGTATGATAGTTCAATTCTCGGAAGTAATGCACCTTTTTGTATAATATTTCACTTCCAATAACAATCTAACATGACAATATCAACACTTACATGACTTATCAATCATTTATATTGTACATAGATTGACCACAAAAGTTACAGTATTTAAAAATTTTCTGGAAAAAAGTGACCCAAAACACCCGAGAGTTTTATAATATATACTTGACTGTGTAGTAGTCGTCTCGGGGAAACTGTAGTAAAAATTTACATTAAGATGTTGTCTTGTATCTACCTATACCGATATAACAAGTTCTTTCATATTAACACTTTATGTACAACCACCCTAGGCTAAATTATGATTTGACAGTTTGCAAAGAAAGGTATTGATATTTAAATACACAAAATAAAACAAGCAATATAACAAAATGTTAATCCAATTATTGAACTACAGTATTTATATTAAAAGTGATTAAACGAAATTAAAGCTTAAAGATTATGATCAGCTTGTTTTTATGTTGGGATTTATTTTCATTTACTTTCTACTAATATTATTGAATGGTAGTAGGGAATACATGAAGGATGTCACGGGTTGCGCTGGAGTAAAATAGAACTTCAATATCACATAGGAACGAACTCCTTTCACGTCTTAAGCTGTACCATTTTTCACTATAATGTTTATTGAAAAATCAAATTTTGTACTACTCCATGTTTTTATTTGCGTCTTCTTAGGAATTTATTCTGACAGTTATCCAACTGTATTAATATTTTTGCCTCATTATGAAATGAAATACAAGAATGGTTTTTGGAAACCTGTAGTTGACATAACGTTGAATCTTGTGAATGTCAAGTATCTCCTCAAAAAAGATCTAATTAAAGATGTTTTTGTGAATCAGTTGTATTTACTTTGTGTAACCGTAAATATTAAAACGCCCTCTTGTATAGTTTGGAAACGTCTAGCCCAAGTATGAACCCGTTAGCCTGTTCAGTTTAAAAGACAAATCCTCTATACGTTATAGATTACATTGAGTTATTGGTTTTATGTACCTTTGGCCGATGGACGCTTTGGAAATAATCGCCAACGCTTGACAAAAATCACGAACGATTGCTGACTCTAAATTGTTTTGGCTGATCGCTCTTAGTGTATCAGCCAAAATCCCGTAGTTTGGGTCTTGCACTGTTGACATGCACAATTCAATTCAAAGGGGAAATACTTGTAGTTCGTAATCTGAGTCGGTTACGGCAAAATTTATGCTCCTTGCCCCTTCTGGGTGTTATCATATTTTGATAACTCTTTAAAACGCTTCAAATATTGTCATGTTGTTTTTTTGTTTTGTTTTTTGTTCTTGTCGTTGGGTTGTTGACTCGCATTGATGATTCCCTGACATCTCCTTTTATCATCATTATCATGTTTGTTCATATTTATTCAGGTTTAAATGCATGTAACCCTTCAGATTTATGAAGTAGACAATTAAAAGCTTGACACATTGCATGGACATATTGACTATTGTTGAAGACCGTATGTTGACCTTTAGATTATGAAATGCTGTGTTTCTGTCTCGTTGACTTGTAATACATTCCTTCTTTTTATATATTTACATATAAAATTAAATACAGCCATAATGTGAAACGACCGGAATATTATCTATTCATTAAAGATTTATATCCTATTGTCATAGAAGGAATGTGGTTTCTTAATTCCTGCAGCATTCCAAATTGACAAAACACAAAGCAGAGTAACAGTTCTGTTATTGCTGCTCTTCAGCTTAAAGTCACAGTGAAGCTTGGAGCTCACACCTCACTGTAAGTTCAAACCTGTCGTTTTCATCTATTTGGGCCAAATTCTTTGCTAGATGGCGGGATTATGCTAGATCCCGCTAGATCTGTGCTTTCATACACCTTCACATCACCTTGTCCTTTAAACACTACCGTGAAAGGGGAAATATGTGCTGGTGCTTGTAAACTGAAAGTGTTCGACTGGCGATCATAAATATGCCTATAGTGTAAAATTAGTGGACGAGATTGGTTTATAGATAATCTTGGTTTTTATTATTTTTATCAAATGTGTGACATGACTGATGAGTTAAAAAAAAGTTTTCCACCAAGGGGTGGATCTGTGCGAAAAAGGAAGAATATACCAGCAAAATAGGCCACAATCATCATTGGGTATCTTGTTTAAAAAATGTGTCCGTCTGCCAATCAAGATTGCCGACATGGCTAACATTGAACAAAGGGGGTGAAATGCTAGGTTTGACTATTATTTGGAAAATTGTTATAAAACGAGAAAATCTGAGAGAGCAAAAATGTTCAGAATATTGAGCTCTACCAGTTGTCCATATACGTCAAAACTGTCAGACGCTAATTTATAGGAGTTATTGCCCTTAAATGACAAATTTTACCATTTTTTTCATTTTTGCCTATTATCTAGAAAAGTATAATAGATAGAGAGAATTTTAAATGATCAGCAAGACAAGTTATACAAGTAAGTCTCATGGTCGAAATCGTCAGTCGACTCCTTATTAGAGTTATTGCCCTTTGATGACGATTTTTACCATTTTTTTGCGTTTTTTTCTTATATCTTAAATATAATAATAGATAGATAGAAACTTAAATAAGCAAAAATGATCAACAAGACAAGATTTATACAATTAAGAAAATTATGGAGGAAATCATCCGATGACTCCTTATCGGAGATATTGCCCTTTAATGACGAGCAATACAAGATCAACAAAACAGAGATTTTTGTCATGAATTCTGTTCTCGTCTACAATGTTGGAGATTGCCCTTTGTTGAATATGCACATAGACCAAGGTGAGCGACGCAGGCTCTTTAGAGCCTCCAGTATATACCTGTAATTGCAAAAGTCGGTAAATGATATTTTTGGGGGAAATAACGCGTTAGAAGTATAAAGATGTTATCATTATGATAAAACTATTTATCTTGAAATGATCACATGAACCATATTTATGTAGATGTTTTTGTTATGACTTATTATTTAAAAATGTTAAAAGATAATTCCAGAAAACACTACATCCAAAGTAAATATGTTCTATCTACAGTCTACTCTGGTCAATTACGTAGGGAATAACTTAAACTAAATGTATTTATAGTATCTGAGGTAAAGTATATTTAATAAATTGTTATACTGGTATATAGTTACGTAATAAGTTAAGTAGTCCAGTGAAACTTTTACCATCACCACCACACCCAAACGATATATGAGAATCCGAATTCTTTTTTAAAATCTTTAATACACAATTTGTCTGCGCTTAATCTATTGAAGTCAGCTAGAAATTAAGTTCAGCAATGAAATAACAGGGCCGGCTAAATACTAGATTTACAACAATATAGTAATATGATCAGTAGACACAGAAGTACGTTTTAACGTGAAACCATGCATGTCCCAAAACGTGATAATTTTAGTTTCAAATTGTATATTTTCCAATTCTGATTACTAAATAATTTTCTCGCCTTCATGTGTTAAATCATTTTTTTATGTTTTAAAGAGTAATGTCCACTTTACAGTGGTTTCATTGATATACCACGGTCCGACAGGCACTCTCACTTTATCGCCCGGTAAGGTGTAGGTCATGTCAGTTTTTATTTTGTCTTTTGTGAATTCAAAACTTACCAGTCAGCTAGGAAGAAAACATACATCCATATATTAAACATGCCGTATTTTGAATTCATTTTTAACATCAAAATCAGGTTTCTGTAATAAGTATATCTTGCAGACTAAACACCCGTTTTGAATGTATTCTGAACCAAATATCACCGAAAATCAGATCTCCCTTTGAACACTTAATTTCCTGATTTATCTACAGATTTTTTAAAATGTTTAAGCATGTAGAATTTAACAGAGACATGTTTTTGAGATCAGATCATCTACATGATCAAAATTCACCAGTATGCGGACTCAAAACAAAGAAAAACACAACATAGGCTTCAATTCATCACTGCAACACTTTTTTTTCGCAAACGCCCATTAGTGTCAGTACTTCTGTGTTGACATGAATTATCATTGATATGGTCATAATTTTAAATTACCTGTTAACAAAACTTTGAATTTCTCGAAGTACTAAGTATTTTCTACCCAGGAATATGTTACCTTAGCTGGCAAAACCTTTCGGAATTTTGGGTCCTCAATCCTCTTCAACTTCGTACTTTT